ACAAACTGCATAACAGAGTGAACCACAAGTTTAACCCTCTCAAAAACACAAAGTGTGTACACACACTCTCACTGATTGAAGAAACACACACAGTATCACTCATCCCATATTTAAATTCTGGTCAGAAACTGTTTAGGTAGCAGATGGACTGGGAAAGTCCCTCAGATTTAGACGATGTGAGTTTGTCCCAGTTGTCTTTGGGACACAGACTTTGTCGGCTATTTTTGCCTCCGCGCACATTGATTGAAAATCTCTTCAAGTTTGAAAATGTGCTGTGTCTCCATTTCAACGTGAGTGTGCAAGCATGGATTTTGTCCATCTCCGAAAGTCGTATGTGTGTAACATCTGGGTCGAATAACTTGATTATCCATACATGGATCCTTCAATATTAAATTAGATGCATTCCACTTTGATTTGATTAATGTATCTCAAAAGATCAAGGTCAGGGAGATGCAGCTGTTTGTTGTCAATGAAAGGACTGACTGTCTCTACCCCAAATGTCACATAGCATTAGGAGGGGGATATTATTCTGTTATGTTTTTTTAAAGTCTCCTGGGTCGCCTTAACACTTGAGACAAAAACATCGTCTGAGGCCTGCTGCTTAACCTTTGTAGGCTGGGTGAGCCTGAGTCCCCTACAGCGGCATATATGTCAACGACATCTCCGCGCAATGGATAACCTGACAGAGATGCTAGCATTGCTCTATACTCTTAGTTTGTTAGACAGTGAACACCCACAGGGAAATGAGAAATCAGTGATTAATAGATTTGTCGTAGATCTCAGACAGACGTCGTTTTTGTACACTTCTGTCTCCGCTGTGTCTTACGTTTGTGCTTTCCTGTTCTCTTGGCATCTGTATGTACTTTGTTCACTCGGCTCAGACTAATACTGAGGTTGTATTGCTCCCAAATGCTGCCTTTGTATCTACTTTACTTGCTGATAATTACCTCTAATTATGGACAAAGTGGTTTTTTGATGGTTATTGGATTACATCTGACCATCCGGACCAATTTCCTCCTAAGCACAGGGTGACTGCGTGTCTTTTTGGTTTGTCATGTCTAAACTAACCCCCTAGTTATTTTCCATCAGGCTGGATGGACAAATGTAGTCAAGAGGTCATTGAACCATCGTTCTAGTCTTTCTATGCCACCAAGCTAATTGTAATAGCTGTGTGTATTTTTAAATTAAAAGCCAGATATATTCATGTCAATAAGACTAGGGGTGCTCCGATCGGCATTTTTTGGCCCCAACGCCGGAATCAGTATCAGCCAATACCGATCGCCTCTCCGATCGGGTGGTGGGGGCTATGGGGATCTTCCATTTAAAGTGATGTTTAAAACTCAGTTAATGGGGCTCATTTTTATATTGCCTCAGTTTATAATCGTAACAGATCGAAAAGTTCAGATTAATTTTTCAATAAATGATGTGCTTCCACAAACAACCAACATAATTATTACATTCAAATGAAGTACATTATTTAAGTTTACATTAAAGGGGACCTATCATGCAAAATGCACTTTTGTACGTCTTTTAAACATGAATATGTGTCCCCGGTGTGTCAGGGAACTCACCAAGTGTCAGAAAACACAACCCTCTTTTCCTCCATACCCAAATCTCTAAAAACGGGGCTGCAACGGAGCTGATACAGATTTGAATTGTTCTGACGTCAGAAATGGGGTGCTCCGCCTATATGGGCAACTCTCCACCTATCAGGGGAATGGGGGGTTGGGCCACAGCCGGCCATTGCCGCTGGAAAGCACTGGAGACACTGTAGTACATATGCCAGGCCTGTAAGTGGTGCTGTAGTCTGCCACAAAAGCAGCGAAGAAGACTTCCCGCGCATGGTTGTCATGGTTGCCCTTCTGTCTATTCTCCGCTCTGGCTCTTTTTCCTCCCTCCCCGAGGCAAGCGTTTGCTCCTGCTGCTGTTATTCAATGCAATCCCTCCCTCGCTGTAATTCTCTCCGGTTAGTCCACCAGCAGATGACAAACACCCACCTCTCCGCCTCTTCCAAGGGACGAGGGGACCGTGCGGCAGAGTTTCAGTTAGATTTTTTTTCGCCGGTCAACATGTCCGTTAAAGTTTAAATCTTCCGGACAAAATTAGAAACGTGCCGGTCAAAGGTCTTCTTTGTTATTTATTGAGTTTTAAAACAAATGAATAACGACTCTATATAATAATAAAACACGGAGGACAGAGATCTCTTTTTCTCCCCCTCTTCTGACAGCCCAGCAGCTGATCTCAAAGCATTTTAGCCATGCCTCATTTCGCTCTATTTGCTCTTTCCAGCCCTGTTTTTGCAAGGGCTGATTCTGTGACGTAGCTTTAATGCAAATGAGCTGCAGCTTACCACGCCCCCCTGCAGGAGAGGGGAGGAGAAGCCCCTCAATGCAGTGCGCAATGCTTCAATGACCTCAACGTGGGCGGGAGCTCAACCTTTGAGGCACGTGACGTCCCGACTCCCGTGTTGTGTACTTACCATAGACTGTATGGTACTTACCCAGTCACAAAAGTAACATATTATATCTTATATTATTAATAGGGCTGTCAAGTTAACGCAAAAAAAAATGAACGCCACTAATTATTTTAACACGATTTAACGCACGTGTATTTTTTTTTTCTCGGCCGCCCCGTAGTTTCAGAGCGCAGCGAGTTTAAAATACCATCTACAAGCTGATGCTGACAGCCCCGCTCCTGCCGCCCGCTTGTGGCAGACCACACTTCCACGCTCACCGGCTGGCACCGACTGGCCATCGGGAGGACCGGGAGGGTGTGTGTATGTGTGGCCCGAGCGAGTGAGAGAGAGACCTTACGTGCATTGTTGTTGTTAGCATCTGGTGCTAGCTAGCTGCGCTAACGGATATAAGGAGCTGTTTAAATGAAAACAGAGGAGCAACATTTCGCCACAACTGCACCGAGCACTTGACTTTATGCAGGTAGCCAGACAGTGGGACATTGTACGAAAAGTCAGCACACTCAGCACGGATAGTGCGCAACATGATTGCAGCGTCCAGGCAGCTCCCGTTCGAGCATATGCCTTGAGTTGCACATAGGATAGCTCCATCACACACACACGCGCGCAGAAGCACACACACAAACACACACACACCATTTGTATTGTATTATTGTATGAGAGAGGTTCCAGGTTGAATTGAGGCGAATATTTGTAATGTTCGGAGGTTGTTGTGTTTAATATTCATGAGAATATTTGTCATTGTTCAAATGATAATAAACATTAGCATAAAGCATATTTGTCCACTCATATGTTGATAAGAGTATTAAAAACTTGAAAAATATTCCTCTAAGGTACATTTAGAACAGATCAAAAATGTGCGATTAATTTGCGATTAATCGCGATTAAATATTCTAATCGACTGACAGCCCTAATTATTAATATATATATAATTCTGATGTCTGTGGTTATTTAAACGTTATTTCAGCGTCAATAAATGAGTGTTAATCCCAGTGTGTTTAGTGTACAACATCACATGTAATTTCACCTTCAATTCACAGTTTTCAAAAAGTTAGCCACATGCTAACCGGAAATGAAGAATTTTCAGAATAAAAGTGTTAAGTTAATAGTTAGTGTGAACTTCCGTTTTTTCAGAATAAAACTGCTTTAAATTAAAACCCTGTATTTAATTTAAATTACGTCATATCAACATTGATTTTAATTTCTTACAGTAGGAGAGGTTTTGAGGTTAGGGAGGGAGGGAGGGAGGAAGGAAGATTTAAGATTAGGTAAAAAGGTAGGAAGTGGTTAGGGTTAGGATGGGGGAAGGAAGAGAACTGCTACCCGGGAAACAGGATGCAACGCGTCATCTGTGAAGGTCCGCCCACGTTGAGCTCCAGCCCACATTGAGCTCCCGCCCACGGTGAGCTCATTGAGGCATTGCGCACTGCATTGAGGGGCTTCTCCTCCCCTCTCCTGCAGGGGGGCGTGGTCAACTGCAGCTCATTTGCATTAAAGCTACGTCACAGAATCAGCCCTTGCAAAAACAGGGCTGGAAAGAGCAAATAGAGCGAAATGAGGCATGGCTAAAATGCATGATCTGTTTGGTATTTTGAAAAAAAAACTTCACAGACATGTTTTATATAGGTATGGCCCTACAATATATATTTCAAATATAGCATGATAGGTCCACTTTAACTTTGGATAATAACACGGGAGAATTGAGCGGAAGTGCTCTCTTTTCCTCTCTCCCCCTCTCTCTCTCTCCTGACAGCCTGTCAGTATCGTCTCATGCAGCTCACTGATCCAGTAATGAGTGACCCGACAGTGAAGAATACATATATTTATAACTAGTTTAGCTTGTTCCAGAGGTAGATAAAATAGCTAAGTGGGTTAGGTCTAACTCTTAGTGTGTGTTTTGCTCCGCTCACCGGTCCGTCACAGGAGCTGCAGGATTTCTGCTTCACACACGGAGCATACCGCTATTTTATTGTCATTTTCGGACACCTTAAAATACTGCTAGACTGGTGAAGCCATTTTGGCGAGCTTGTTTTGCCGCACAGAGAAAAGTGTCATGTATTTGACGTCATGTGATCGGCTCTCCTGATCAGCCTTTATGGAGAGCACCGATCGATCGGCTGAGAGTGAGTATCGGCCGAGAGTGAGTATCGGCCGATAACGATCGGAGCATCCCTAAATAAGACAATAACCACATTGTGTTAAACACACCCTGTCACATAAATAGAATACAATTGGCTAAAACAGTTTCACTCATAGCCTGTGTTCCAGTTTGTTTGTTTTCTTTTATGCTAGTTGTCACATAATGTTGATAGGAACTAGTGAATGCCAATAGTTTCTTGATGTTTAGCTTAGGAAATTAAATTCACTTCACATGGAATGTTGCCGGAATTAAACAGTTTTGTTCCGAGTCCCATTAAGATATACAAGGGGTCCGACAGAGAAGGATGGCCGTCTGTGTCGCTGTTATTGCCCTATCTGTTCATGTCTCAGGCTGAAGGATCATAATCTGACATTCTTGTCTCTCCAGGCTGAGGTGATTATGAACTACCACGTAGGAGAGACCGTGTTATCCATCCAGAAAACCACTCTGATCCCCGGAGGATCCGAGTCCATGGTCTACACCACGCTGTCCGGAGGCATCGGCATTCTGGTCCCGTTCACGTCACATGAGGTATAACATCAACGCCTAGAAATACACAGCAAGAAATCTATTTTATTCCTTTTCTATAATCATGGACAATTTGCATATGATGCATATACATATTGCAGCCTACTCACAATTCCTCACATGATATATTTAACTTTTAATTTCAAGCTAGTGTACACAATCTCATATTGTGAATAAATTTGTAAGACTCAAAATGCTGCTGTGACAAAAGTATGTCCCAATTTGGGATTAATATAGTATCTATCTACAACTATTATCACTTATTTTTGCCTCGTTGGATTTTTATTTGAGTCTCTTAATTTATTTTTCTCACATTTCCCTCCCTCCTTTGTTTCTTTGTCCAGGACCATGACTTCTTCCAGCATTTAGAGATGCACATGCGCTCTGAGTTCCCCCCACTGTGCGGCAGAGACCACCTCAGCTTCAGATCCTATTACTTCCCAGTCAAGGTTGGTTATGTTTTACGAGATCCAATCCTTCAGATGTTTCAGATTTATAAACTTTTATGTCCCGAGTCTTTTATTTTTGTCTGTCTTTTTTATTTCCTCCAGAATGTGATTGATGGAGATCTGTGTGAGCAGTTTAACAGCATGGATCCTCACAAGCAGAAAAGTGTGGCGGAGGAGCTGGACAGAACACCGCCCGAGGTGTCTAAGAAACTGGAGGACATTCGTACTCGCTACGCCTTCTAATCGTACACCCTCATGCAGCAGGGCTGGACACACACACACACACACACACACACACACACACACACACACACACACACACACACACACACACACACACACACACACACACACACACACACACACACACACACACACACACACACACATATCTCCTTCAGTACCACAGTGTGCCCAGGTTCAGGAAACACACACACCTTATTACGCAGAAACAAACCGCAAGACGTCACATGGTTTTGATTCCCGTACATTGCAAGTCACACACAGCTCATCCTTGCAACGCAAACACCCGCAATTCAAATTATGAGTGCGCAAACTTTCAGTATTGCCGTCATTACCTGGAAACATGGCAGGAAGTCTCGGGCCAGTTCAGCCCTCTTGCATTGCTAGACTGTTAAATTACCTTGATTCAGACAAACAGCAGTGGGAACATTCTCATCACACTCAGTCATAAGCGTTGTTCACACACAGATGTGTGGACAGAAACTGAGGAGCAACTGTCATCTACACCTCAAGTACATGCAACCAAAATAATTGTAAGCGCATACATTTTATTTAAATGCCAAGCAGAGAAGTCTAGTTAGGGACACAATGTGTAGAGAGGGATTGTCACTCTGAAATCTAAGAACATTTTTTGTCTGTTATTCAGCACGACGGTGTGTTTGTGTCCTTTAATCTAAGCTGAATGAAACATGTTTTTGTATGGTAAGGTCTTTTTTATGTGTATTGATTAGAATTATGCCATTATGCATATACCATAGTCCATGAGGGTATCATTAAATCTTTCTTAGCCCCTCGCCCTGTCTGTCTGTTTGATGACATGTCGGCCTCTTTAAAGCATATTGCTTACTTGCAACTGGGAACCAAACAGAAGCCAGCGTCTGACCCACGTTTGGAGAAGTGTTGCCATACTTTGGCATTAGACGTCGACCGGACTCAGACTAAATAAGTGGGTGGAAGAACACTGAAGGTTTGCACTGGGTGTTGTTCTTCTCAGTCCTGTAAATTCCCAACCTCAGCCACAGGCTCAGACATAGCATTCCTCAGTAGTCACTGAATTTAGGGGTTTGTGGGATGGGGGCAGTGGTCTGTTTTTTGTAAATAAAGTTGTTGTTTTTTTGTGCTTTTATAAAACCATGCGTTTGGTTCATTTCCTGCCACTGAAACATCGATCAGCCAAATGATTCATCAGTGCATTTGTCTTAATCATGGAGAAATTAGAGGTCCAGTATTAAGTTGTGTGATTCGTCATGGTATCCGCACAGGGAATGTAATTATTATTAAAAGTGATACTAACTATCTGATTTAGACCTTGTACAAACAAATAGCAGATTAAACACCTGAGGAGCAACATTCCTCTTAGGCTGTAATAATGCTTTTCCCTATAATTCAGCTTGGTGTTTTTCATACAAAGAAATGGATAAATATAATGTTCCTGCCCACTTTCTTGCCAGGAAGTGTATCGTAGGTCTAGAATCAAAATGTATATAGTTTATTAGCTTATCATTACCTGGCTTATATTTCAAATTCAAAAACCAGATTACAGAGTTGCATCATTTTGGCATCTAACACCGGGCAAGGTGGTAAACACCACTTCTTACAGCCATTTACAATGCAAAACAAGAAGATAATGATCTTTAATAAATTAGAATAATAAGCAGACAAGACTAAGTGCTCACATCTGTCTTTGCTTTTGGATGTGTGATGGGTTTTGTCGCTGCGGGATGAACTTGGTCTGACTAAACTTCCCCACTTTTTGCCACAGTTTATATTCCATAACCACATGGGCAGCATTTAAAAAATGTTATGGACAACAAAACTGTACCCTAAAGTGACTCATCCTGAGGACGTGCTGGTCATTTGAAAATAAAAGTCTTCCAGGCACAGAAGAGAAACATCTGTGTCTTTGAGAATGCCCATCCTGTGCAATTACTGGTTTCACATGCTACTTTATCAATTTATTGTAAAGTGATTTTATTTGAGAAGGTATGATGGTGCTTAAATAGGTAGCAGTACGACCATGAGATGAGAGGCATTTAGTGAATGGATTGTTTTTCATTTTTTTATTTACATTGACTCAGTTACTCCTTTTTTATCGCAAAACTTATCTGTAAACCCAGGTCATAATTCTGAGAAGGAAAACATAACTACCACCAAACAGGAATATCATACACCAATAATGATAGGCAGTGTTGCTAAAGAAGCCTTCATTTTTTTTTTTACTAACGGTAAAGCAGCACTTGGTCTAAAAGCATAGGTACATCCAAGAAGTACTTAATACAGAATTTCCTATTTCTGAATATCGTATATGATTTTATTGAATTAATTATGATATAAGTAGATATTCTGTTATAAAATTAAAACATAAAATCTAGTTGATTATAGGCAGTAATCATTATAAATCTGGATAGTGACTAGTACCTTAGTTTTAACATAACTAGTGAAGTAAACATATTTGCCTCTGAGATAAAGTATAAGGAAGCTTAAAATGGAAACACTCAAATTACAACTATCTGAAAGCTGTACTTAACCCTCCTGTTGTATTCTATCGTTCGTCGTCGTCGTCGTCGTCCCCCCCCCCCCCCCCCCCCAACTTTGGTGTTCACGGTCAGATTTGACCGGTCCTGTTTTAACTGCTATTACATTAACACAAAAACCATTCATCATCACCACATTTCATTTAACACCCATTCAAACTGTAAATATTGTATCAGACTGGTATACATGAAAAACTGCAGTAAATATACAAAGAATAGACACTGAACATGTATTGCGTGTGCCAGTGTGATCCATGTGGGGGGATGGGCACATAAGAGCGGGAAATGTATCAAATTGTTCTGTGTGTATTTGTGTGTGCCAGGTGTGATTCACATGGGGGGATGGGCACATAAGTGGGGAAAACACATCTAGTGTATGAGTGTGTTTTATCTGATCTGGATGGTTACTAATTCCTTTTCTTTATGGCGGTCATTTTTGACAGGGAACACCATGGGTGTTACAAAGTTGACTAAATCATCCAAAATTCAATGAAAGCGCAGATCAGCAGTTCTATATGTTCAAATGTCTACTGTGAAGGATATCATAAAGCCTTAATGCAATTGAATGTAAAACAAGTTATGATTGATGAAAGTATACTAAATTGGTCAGATTTGACCCGAACACAACAGGAGAGTTAAGTAACTGATTAAATGTTAAGTAACTGATTAAATGTATTTATGTATATTTTGACATTCCACCAGTTAACCCTGTTGGTTAACCAGACACGCTGGTCATCATGTGTCAGACCCTAGGTCAGACCCAGACAGAGACCCCCCTCTCTCTGAGGCTCTCACTCAGCTGCGAGGCCTCTTCTTTCATGTAGAGGGTTAAATAATATGCATTTCTCACAGAGGTGGGAAGTAAATAAGAAGATTTACTCAAGTTCTAGTGTACTTTTACTCCACTACATTTATGTTGTACCTTTAGTTACTTTACAGATTTGGATTAATGATGTGAAATATAATCAACAATTAAATCAGACTTTAGTTCCACCTGGAGTAAATTCACAATCTACCCTGCAGTATACAAAGTCATTCAAACTAGCTGCACCTTTACCAGCTTTAATAACACTTAAATGCATAAATAACCATAATCAAAACAAATAATATATTTTTTCTGAAATGGGCCAATCTGCATAATGAGTACAAGATCTGATTACTTCTCCCACCTCAGATTTTTTGGAATCTCTTGGACAAAAAATAATAATAAAACCCTCAAAGATCTATAGCAGCATTAATCTTCTGCAAACACATTTTTATATTTAAATCTGATGTTTATGTTTTTTGCAATAGTCCCTGTAAATATACAATGAAATGGACACGTCTATCCTTTTCTACACTCCACATGGGTATATATATATATATATACGAGTAAGTAAAAATGTTAATACAATGTTCAAATTCTGTATAAATGTCTATTCATTTGTGCGCAGTTTACTATTCAATGTTTGCATGGAACTACTTGATCACAGTTTATCATGACAGACACACAGTATTGCACATGGTCAGGTAGGGCCACTAGTTGGTTTTGCACCTAATATTGCGGACTGGGAATGGGAATTTGCAAACGGGTGGAAGTTGGTATGGAGAGGGTGTCAAGGCCAGATTTGAGCCAGTGAGTTTAGTCTAGTCTGAGTTTAGTAACCAGCAAGCAAACCATTTTGTTTCATCACATTTTAAGAATTAAGTCTTGTGAATTTTGCAGATTCTTGTCAAAAACATTGATTATTTTAATGTTCCCATTTTGTAAAAAGTGGGATTTCTCAAATAATAAAGCAGGTCTAAAATCTATAAAATACTGTTGTAAAAGGCTTAAACCATGGAGAAATGCAGAAACCTGTGTTTAAAAATGTACCTTTAGATAATCCGCCCAGACTTCCTTCGGGTTGTGATTTCACAACTACAATTTGTATAGGTAAAGAGTGATTAAATAGTGCTGTTACAGTCATTCCCAGGCTGCAGTGACAGTGCAGGTACACTGAGGGGTCTGATGGAAAACTGACCAATGAGAGCAGAGCAGACTGGGGTCTTAAAGAGACAGGCGCTAAAACTGAGTGTTAAAGACAGAGGGTTATGATTCAAGAAAACAGTATAAGAAAAATAATTAGTTTTTTGAACATTAAAGCATGTCAACGTTCCTGAAAAAACAAATAGATACAAGTATGAACCTAAAACATTGCATTATAAGTTTCCTTTAATGCAAATGGAGAAAAGAAAAAACACAATGTAACTTTAAATTATTGTTAGGCCGGATACATCAGTTCTCCCAACGTCATGAAAAAACATCTGAAGAAATGTATCCTGAGGGTGAATGACACTAGTTAACTCATACCAATATCTTGGTTCCATAAGATGGCCAAAGGGAACTTGAGTGGTCCAGCTGCGAAGCCCTGTTCAGACATTTGACAGTAACTGATATTCTCCTTATATGCATCCCACCCGTTTGGACTGATCTGGGTGTTTAGGGTTTATGACTGGGATTATAGGTGCTCATCTATCACACTGCATTCCACTGCCACCTCTACTTACATATTGTTTGTTCAAAGCATTGATGCTTGACTGTGGCTTTAAAGTTGAGAAAGTATGTGCATCAATAGTTCCTGTGAACTTTTTCCACATTTTATGGCAAATTCAAGCTTGCAACTATATTGTAGAAAACAGATTTCTACTTGACAACAGCAATATAATAGGTTGCTTTATATACGTGTGTGTATGATGTCTACTATAATGTTTATTCCATTCATTTGAGCAGCCTTTGCTCTCTGCACTATTGCGCTACTGTTATTCTTCTACAATTACAATGTGTATTTATATCAGATACATGAGCATCTCAAAATGGACCAACATTACAGTCTCACACAATCAAATCATTATGGTCATAGATTGCAATCAACAGAAGACTTAATTGATGGAAGCGTATGTTATTAGATGTTCAAAGTCTGGATACACAGTATCATCCATCCATAACCTTAAAGGGGAAAACACCCCTTAAAAAAGTACACATGTAAGGCCTGAATAACAAAAACATACTGTAGATTATAATTGTATTATAAATCAAATACATATAGATAAACTTAAAGCAGGAGTATGTGTTGATACAACTTTGAGAAGTAAACATAAACCATACTATTAGAACATCAACAATGAAGAGATAATAAAGACGTGGAATATTTGTCAAAATTGGGGCTTGTTTAACATTTTTGAAAGCATACCACCTTAAACAAATTCTTAAGTAAGGCTCTGTTCGCTAATCGACAACAGGAGAGTTGGTTTTACTTCCAGAATGAAGGCAGGATTTGAGCTTCCTCAATGGCTTGGATAACACACTGATCCACAGTTGTGTTATGAGGTATGAAGAATAAGTACAGAGTGTAACAATCGTTACTTGTAATGCCGGAGCACATTGCAAATATAGACTTTAAACTGATCATGAAACTCACACCCCTTTTTTACCCTTGCCTTTACAAGACTGTGGAAACAAGCCTCCAAGTGCAAATGTGTGGTAATGCAGTGAGATCTTTCAGGACCTTTACTCTGAGACGATCCTTACCAAAAAACTACTTCAGGGTCAATGAAATTCAGGCGGTGCTACCTCAGTCT